TTTTTTTTTTTTAGTTTTGATTCAAATTAATATATAAATTCTACTTCAAAAATAAATATTTCGACTGTGATATTCATTTTAGAAGTAATTAAAAAAAATTAATTAATCAGGTGTCCTTCACGTTACTCATACGCACCAAAGTACCATGAAATCAATTTTCGAAGGAAAACTTTTACTTTTTATTCCTGAATTGAGTTTATCATTAAATTCTACATAAAAATGAAACTTTTAAGGACGTTAGTATTCTCAAAAGTATTTTTATTGAATAAATAAATCACAAATTTAAAATTTTTAATATTCCTGCGGATAACTCTAAGAATAGCAATGAAGAAGATGACTCTGCAGTAAAAAATCTGCAGGAAAATTTTAATGGCACAGCAGATAGAACTATGAAAATAAAAATAGTGGGTGAGATACATAATTGGTCTATCCGAAAGGGTCACGACTTACTTCTCAAACGCTACAAAATGTATGATTACTGTTGCTAAAAAACTTTCTTCAGGGAAATGAATCTTAGAAGACCTAAATCCAAAAAGCCACCGCTAGGAAAAAATATGTAACCAATAGAATTTTAAATTTTTACGAATGTGAAGTAATGCCTGGGAAAAAAATCTGCGTATCCTTACAAATTGACGGATAAAGAACACAAATGCGAAAACGGTCCATTCTAAACAATTTGAAGGAGTTGCATACACCTTTCAAACTCAACCATCCAGACCTGTAATGTAGTTTTTCAAAATTTGCATCTTTACGGCCACAACAATGCGTTCTTGCAGGAGCAAGCGGCACACATTCAGTTTGTGTGTGCTCCATACACGAAAACATACGATTAATGGTACATTGAGTGAATATAAAAGCACTGACTGCATGTAGTAGAAAGCCGATAAATAACTATAAAGATTGCCTACAGCGTATGATTTGCAATACTTCACGCACAGAATATTTTCTAGGAACCTGCGCCAAATTTCTTGGAACTGAAAATATCAATGAACAACTTCTGGAGATATTTGATGACAACATGATTGACACCGTTAAATACAAACAATTGGATCGTGAAGAGAAAAGTACATTAAAAACGTTGATATCCCAAATAGATGAATATTTGTAATCCTTAACAGATGGTTTAGACAAATTGCTGTTGCATTCCTTTATTGTTAAAAAACAGTCAGAGTTTTTAAATGATAAGAAAAGCAACTTAACAAAAACTGAATGCATAGTTTTGCGTGATGTTTTCGAAAATTATGCTTTTGTTGTTCAAAACTCTGTTCAAGGTATTCACTGGAATAATAATCAGGCAACAATTCATATTTTTGCAATATACCACCGTGATGAAAATAAAAAACTACAAATAAAAAATTTTGTTTGCATATCTGACTGTTTACATCACAACTGTGATGTAGCGTATGTTCCAGAAATACACTATCAAATTCATTAAAAAAATTAGTACGGATATTAAAAAAATTATTTAGTTTTCCGATGGATCGGGTTCACAATATAAAAATAAAAAAAATTTTATTAATTTAACTCATCACAAAGCGGACTTTGGTTTGGAAGCAGAATGGCACTTTTTTCCAACGACACATGGCAAAGAACCATGCGACAGCTTAGCTGGTACCTTAGAGGGGAATGCTGCAAGAGCTAGCCTTATTCCAAATTCTAAAAAAGTATTAATGGCAAACATATTTTCTTCTTCAGACATTACAGATTATGTATCAATAATGAAAAGAAAATTAATAAAATCAATGTAAAAACCATAAAAAAATATTTTGTTTTTAGCTCCTAACAGTTTCTTTCCTATAACATTTCTTACCTGTGCAGAGTATTTTTCCAACTGTAGCAAAATAACACTTCATCGAAAAAGGTATGTGTGATTATGTGCTGCAGTTTTCTAGGTAGTTCGACTAGTATGAAACTAATTAACTTTTTAATTCATCTATATAAGAAAAAAGTTTATTAAACGGTTTAATTATGTTAAAATTCATAATTTAAAAACAGAAATAATGCGGAACTAATTTAAAATGTTAATATTTTATGTATACATTTATTTTAAAAATGAGCAAATTAACAATTTTAAGAAAACAATCGCTTAATCATCGTCAAGGCGAGTTATAAGCAACGTATTTTTACGATTGGCGATATATGAATCGTCTAAATGCTAGCTGGGAAAATTTTTGAATGTGATACTTGGACTTTGTTAGTGTGCTTTTTTTTCTTAAAATTTATGACTGGCTTCGTGTGCTTGAAATGCACAAGTTCTTCAAAAATATTTTAAATTCGATTTTTGCTGAAATTTTATACTAGCTTCGTACTAAAATATGATGTTTGCCTATGGAATGATTAGAAAAAACCGGAGTAGCGCAACCACAGTTGTTATTAGTGTAAATCCTCTTAATATGTTTGGTTGTGAAGACTGTGCTATGCCATACAGTAGCAATGGTTTCATGAAGAATATTCATAAACACCATATTATACAATAATTGATTATTCTTTATAATTAATTATTTAACAATATTGTTTTATTTAAACAGTAAATTTTTACAATGCAAAATAAAAGACTTGTAATTAGTATTAGTGACCGACATATTACTGTTAAATTTAGAAAAGATGACGTCAGCCAACGAAAAATTGCTAAAGATATTGGTCGTCAATATTCATCTATGCAAAAAGTTATAAATAACTTTAAGGAGACGGGTAATTATGTTTCTAAACCTCGTACTGGTCACCCTTTAATTCTGTCAGTTAGAGAAAGTATCTTCAACCAGTTGAAACTAAATCCAAGTGCAAAGAACACTTTTACAAGAATACTTTTACAAGTATTCTTTGTCCAAGTGTAACAGCCAGAGAATATAGGAAGCATCTTCAAATACTATCGGAACCATCAGATCTTAGTCCCATATAACATCTGTGGGCTTATTTGGAAAACAAGATTCGCCAGCACACGATTTCCAGCAAGGATATGTTAAGAAACGTCATCAAGGACGAATGGCTAAAAATAAACGCACAGGATACTGCAAAGCTGGTAGAGTCAATGCAAAGACACCTAAAAGAGATTATTAAGGGCAGAGGTTATCCCAAAGGCTATTAAATATAATATTTCTGTGTATATAAATTGCTTTAATTTAAATATTAAGAAGTGAACGCAGACTTTTTCTGCTTCGAAAACTGTTGCTTTTGCATAGAAGTATGTTTTTTTTTTAAATATTAACTTTTAATTTTTTATGTTTGAACTTAATTGTTGTATCTTTAATTAAAATAAATCAGAAAACGAAAATTATTTTGAGTAAAAATTAAAATTTTGTGGGTGAACGCAGACTTTTTCCTCTATGTGTATATATGCATGATGAAAAGAATTTTTATTTTAACAATTACTACACAATTTTTTTACTTTGTCAAAACACTTTCATGACTAATTATATATACTTAATAACATCAATAATAATTATATAGCACTGTTGATTTTAGTTTAACTATTCTTTATTTATAGATGATTTATATAGCAAATTTAAAATTTATGTTTAAATTTAAGAAAAACTGATACAAAAAATCATGTCTGTATTTACTCGTTAAAATGAAAATATATACAATAATTTTCCCAATAACACAAATTTATACAATTTCTTCTAATTAGAAGAAATAGCTACATGCTAATATGCAGCCACAAATGTAATAAATATTTAAGTTATAAGCCCAACCAACTTTAACATTTGACAATTCTAGTATGGTGAATAAGTAAGAGAGTTTTTTTGTGCGATATTACACAAAGAGACACAATTATTCAAAATTTCCTCTCAGTTTCTTCTCTTTATCTTTTTTGATTCAATGTATTAAATACTCATTGCTTCTGGTTTAGCTGTCATTTTAGTTATAATGTGATTGTCTATTGAAGTGATGTACTTGCGGCTTCACAGCACAAATTTAAGAAATTATGCTTGTTTTAAAAATATTTGTGCAAATGTATAGTTAAAAGTGCAACAAAAATATTTTCTTATCAATAAAGTTGTTTAAAAAAATTATATATGTATAAATAAAGTAGTGCATATTCAATATTTCAGTAATTTAAAGTTTTGAATATAAAATTTGTGCTATATAAATAAAATAATTGTGGTTTGAACGGGATTAATATTAAAATAATCAATAGGAGTAATTGGAATTTGGCTGCTTATAATACATATTCAACTAACTATGAATTAACATGTATGAATAAATGCATTTCAGAAATTCCAATCACACTACAGCCCAGAGAGTGTACTAACAACATCAAATGGTGCATCATAAGTTGTCATACACGGTTACTAATTATCACTAATATTATTGAATTATTATAATGATATTGGACTGTTACAATTTTTGTTATAAATAAACCGCAGATTTTTCTATATTTTGGAATAATTAAAATACTTCTACAAATTGACTAAGTACATAGTTCCAGCTTAGCAAAATATATTTTAAAAGGGTAAAAATCAATAATTTTGGTAAATATATACGTATTTGTATTGAATGCACATTTAATAAGTACAATATATATTTTATTACAATAGCAATTTCTTTAAATAATTTACAGTATACAAATATTAATTTGTGTATAATTAAAATTATTGTTTCAATGTTATTAATGTAAATGTTTGCAGTTGGTTAGCTATACATACACATAGCCAATAAATTCTGCGTACACCTTACGAATTTTGATATGTGATAAAGAAACACAACATAATTAAATATTTTATATTAAAACTAGCTGACCCGGCGAACGTTGTTTCCCCTTGCAATTAATTTTCCTGGCTGAGTTGAGTTATAACATTTGTTGTTATTCAACTTAACCTTTAGCATTTTAATGCGAAAATTATTTTGAATTGATTTTTTCTTTTGAACTGCAAAAAGTCCACATGCATTACTTATATTACAAATATTTTCATGTTACTTCCAGTCCTTATAAGCACTACTTTTAAATGAAAAAAGGTTTTTTTAATATTATATTAACAGTTTTATTATGAGCTATTATGTTATCTTAAAGCTAAATCATGAACAATATTTTTTGTTAAGCCATTTTGACCGTAGTTACAGAGATCAGAAGGTTTTCCAACACGGGAACATGCAACATATAGTCGCCCATGCGAAAAACATGGATTTTCCAAATTCAGTCCACATACTTTTAATGTTTGACCTTGAGATTTATTAATTGTCATCGCAAATGCTAAACGAATTGGAAATTGCAATCGTTTGAATTGAATTGGATCATCGGTTAGTATAATTGGTATGCGTGGAAGCAATATATTTTCTCCTCTGAATTTTCCACTTAATATTGTTGATTCAATTAAGTTCCCCATAATTCTTTTAATTACTGATCTTGTTCCATTACATAATTTTAGTGGGTTTAGATTGTGTAATAAAATGATTGGTGAACCAACTTTTAAAAGTAAATTGCGTGGTGGTAGTCCTGGCAAATCAAACAAATTTAAGTACTCAGTGGGATAATTCACAATCTCGTTTTCATCTACCACTGTGTCGATGGATTTTAACGAAATTAAATCACCAGGTAGCATAGCTTGAATTTTTGAATTGATTTCATCGACATCTAAGTTCTTGGCAGCCAGAAACGCTCTATTTTGAAGCCATTGATGGTTCTGATAATTTTGAATTAACAATATTACAAAAATTTTCCGGCAATTTAATAAAGTGCGTATTTTCATGAAGACTTACGTTTCCATTAACAATATCCAGCAATGGTTTGGCAAACAGTTCTGCAGCTAAATCTCTCTGTAGTCCAACACGCATGTTTTCGGTAATTCGCAATATGTGGACACTTCGCCACAAAATAGATGATTTAAGGCAAGCATTGATTTGTTCGCTTCTTGTGACAAATTCAACCAAATCTTCAGAGCTATACTGAAGTTCGCGCTGCATATCAGTTGCCAAACGATTTGGCGAATACAATCCTAATAATTTAAGTGGTTGATTTGATATAAGTAAACATAAGTCTTCGATCATAATCAAAGCTTCGTTATAAATTTCACGATTGAATTGAATATTTAAGTCATGATTTGTTGTTCTATGTCTATGTAGTACATCTTCACTCATTGAGCATTTATATTTATCCTACAATTCTTTGGGATTATTTGGAAAACATGTTGTCAACAATATGGCGAATAATTGACGAATTTGATGTGGAAAAGAACTTAATACTGCATCCCGGAGTGTAATGTCCCAATGATTATCGCTTTCCAGCAATTGCAATTCTCTACATGCCATTGACCATTGACAGTTCTCAAATACTCATACGATGTTGGACCGCGTACATTTATCAAAAGCAGTCTTAAAAAAAAACACTCTCGTTGTTTTGGATGAACAGTATATAAACGACCCAGTGAGTTTGCTGAAACTAATCCTGGATAACCATTGACTGCGCAACACCTCGTTTACGTGGCTGCCACTTTTTTAAAGTTTTGTTTCATGTGAAATATGCTGGAACTTCCGAATAAAGTAAAGTTCGTGCGTATTGCCCAAAAATATTTTGTTGTTTATTCAATTCAAAGAACTCTGTTAACGTAGTTTTTGGTGCTGTTAATGTATACTTAAATGTATTACAGCTGGATCTCGTTCGTGTATTTGAAAACCAAAAATTCACCATGTGGCTTCGTTACTGCTGATATATCTGCCCTTTTGGTAGCGTGTTATTTCATAATTTTCGTTTATATTTTGAACTGCAAATACTGTGATATGGACTACCTTTATGAACATATTTGCAAATGTATTTTATTAATTTTACGGAGCTACAAAATTCTACATTGATGTGCGCTTTATATATCTTGGATAACAATGGCGAATATATCACTACCCATCTATTGTCTACTTCAACTTCATATTCAATATTTCTCAACTTTAGTGAAAAGGATTGGCCTCCATTTTCCGAATTCCAGTTTCCAGTTATCGTATCTCTAACAAAATCTTTTCGAAATCCTTTTGTGCATTTATCATTTTCCATGCAAGGCGACGTCATATTTAAATTTTCGCATGGACCATGTATCATATTTTTTTACCACAATTTCAAATAGCTCTTTGTCAATATTTGGATTTGGAATGTCTACGAAAACTATTTTATTAATTTCTTCAGGTCTGATTTTTTCAACACACCAAATTAAAATATGAGCATGTGGCAAACCTCTTCTTTGCCACTCAATAGAATACATCCAGCAACGTGTTTCTCCAAATACAGAGTGTTTTACAATTAAATCAATCAAAGATTTTAATTTTTGTTTAAACACCCGTTCGGTAATATCGGGACGATGAATCGGCGTTTGCCCAGGTAATAACAATTTGTCCAGGTAATAATAAATTTTCATCTATATTATTATAAATATATTTGCCATGTTTTATCTTTACGCATAATTTTAATGTCTCGTTTTTCAAACTGTTCGCCAACTATTACAACAGCGACTTCATTTATAGTTGGAGCGTTAATTCGTCGTGTATGTTCTCCAACTGGTACTTTGTCGGCTTTGATTACAATCATGTAATTGTCATTTTGTAATCTGTTCGATACTCCTTTAAACAATTTCATTAACTGATTGATCTCATTTACAAACGCTTCTAAAGATGCAACTAATGTTTTTCTGCATTTATTTCAATATGATTATAGTTGCATCTTGCATTTACTCTATCTTCCTCACTGCCCATGAAGTAAATTTGCAGAAATTTGGGGTCCTCATCGGGCATCGATAGAAACGAACCAAATCTATGATAAACTTGACCTTGAATTTTGAAAGTTGTTTCAACATTGAAATTGTTGTTACTTGAATTTTTAACTACATTTGTTATTCCAAATGAGGTCATTTGAATGCATGTTAAATTTGTAAATCCACAATTCAAAAAATATTTTGGATTTAAAGAAAAAGTTTTTTAACTTTGTTAAAGTAAAAAATGTAAACAAATTATGAAGTCACACAATTTTATAAGATTTTATAACTTATCTGCGCAATGACTAACCTTAGTATTTAATGTTCTTGGCGGTATATAGAAGATTTAACAATTGCATACTTACAATTGCTGTCGATTAATTGCACTTCATTCAATAATTTTTAATTTTCACAATGTTCATGATATTTTACTTTTATCGCTTTAACGAATAGCTATTAAATAAAGCTTCTAATAAATACCGCCTATTTTCACTTTAAGATGCAGATCAGTAAATTTTTAAATGTTTTTCGTATACTTTTTGTGTTTAAATTTATGAATAACTTTTTGCACTCGCGCAACTTACATGTATTCTCAAGAATGGTAGAATTAGGGTTTGAATTGCTTTGACTATTTTCAAGCAATTATTTTTGACTACGAAAATAAAATAAGCAAAATGCAAATGCTTAACAAAACGTACACAATACAAATGTGTGTGCACACAACTGTGTACAATCGCGATTGTACGTTTTGTTGTTGCATTTGCATTTTGCTTATTTTATTTTCGTAGTCAAAAATAATTGCTTGAAAATAATCACAGCATATCAAACCTGGGATAGAATACGACATTCGAACAAATTCCCGTTACGTGATGTATTTGGCACGGTTTCCATGGTTGCCATGCAGTATAATAACTTGACAAATTAATTTGAATAAATTTCAATTAATAATTTACATTTACAATTTAAATTATGTAATAATAATTTAAAACAAATAAATAATATAAAAATGAAATAAAAAAGATTCGTGAAATTCTTATACAATTAAATGTATAAATGTTAAATGGAATCAAATTGCTTTGTATAAAAATATAACAACAATTTACTAAACCGTTTTAATTTAAGTATGCAAAATTAAATTACAAACTAATAAGATACAATTTAATGCAATTAATTTATTTGCAAGCTTCTAAATGCTTCATTTTAAATAAATATATAATAAAAAATTGGTGAAATTAAATATCATATGAAATTATTATTTCTTTCAAATACATATTGAAAAATATAATTTCATTTAAATTAAACATTATTATATAACATAAATGCATTTATTAAAAAAAAATATTTTGACCAATTTTCAGTTTATTTCAATTAACATATAGAATTTCTATTTTATCTGTCATTTCTACTATTTCGCAAAAGTTCGAACAATGTACACAAAAATACACAAAAATACACAAAAATAAACAAAGAGAAAATCAGTATCATTCAAACTGTCGGACAGTTTGAAACGGAAATTATTAAATTTATTATTTAAGTGAAAATTATAACTAATATCGAATGTTATAATAGCCTATGTTACGCCGAAAAACTATATAAATATGATCTGAGAGTATCAAGAAGATTAGTTAAGTCATTAAAAAGTTATTGAGTAACGAACAGACGAACAAACGATTTTATATATGTATAGATAGATAGATTTTTACATACATGTAATTGTTCTTTGAAATTTTAAGTTTAAATAGCAAAAGGCAAAAATTGTATACGTTTGGTTATTCTTGAAATAACGAGATAAATCTGTCGCTGCATGTATATATAGTCCCCATAAAGTCTGCGTACAGTGATAAAAAAGCTGATAAAATCGGTAGAAATATTAAAAATAATGCTAAATTTAATACTTTGTTGGGTAGCCACGCTGTTTTAGAACTTCTCTTAATCTTCAGCAGTAATTTTCGACCATTCTGCTTGCATTGTAATCCGCAAAGCCTCTTTACTTGTTATCACATGCTGACGAATTCTTTTTTCCAATAAATCTCAAAGATACTCAATGGGATTGAGATCAGGAAATTGTGGAGGCGTTTTAAGCTGTCTTGGAACATTGTACAAAAGTCAAAGTTTAACAATCCCCGCTGTGTGTTTTGGGTCATTGTCCTTTTGGAACCAAAATGACGTGAACAAGCCCAAATTATCTGCACTTTGTTTCAAATTTCTTTTTAAATAGTTTAAATAGTCCCATTTATTCATTGTCGATTCTATAAATTTCAACTGGCCTGCACCATCAGCCACCATGCACCCCCATACCATAACTCCACCACTGTCGTGTTTGACTGTACCAACAAGATTTTGTTTCTCTAGCGCTGCTCCTGATTTCCGCCACACAATTTGACGACCTTCTATACCAAAGATGCAGTACTTGCCTTCATCTGAAAATATTACTTGTTTGCAGAACTCCGGAAGTTTATTTATGTATTTCTTTGCAAATTTAACGCATTTCAACGCATATTTTGTCTGTTTACAATTGAAATATACGGTTTCTTTCTAGCGACTCTACCACGATATCCAGCTTTATGTAATATTTTTTTAGCAAACTTCGCACAAATACTTTTTTAAATGATTGATTTACATATTTCACTATTTCCGAAGAAAAAACACGAGGGTTGATCTTTAGCATATGAACTATTTTTTACTTTTCTCGGACTGATAAAACTTTTGGACGCCCAGGACACAGTTTAGATGTTAAAATTCCGGTTTCTTTGAAGTTGTCTGCTATGCGCTGGACTGATGAATGCGTTCTTTCAATAGTTTCATCAATTTTTCGGAAACTTTTTCCATCTTTCCATAGTTTAATAATTATTTTTCTTTCGTGTACACTAATTTCTCTTCCCCTTGATTCCATACTTCAAAATAGTAATTACTTAAAAATTAATTAATCACTGAGCTCGCTAAATGTTCAATTCAAATGCTAAATAATACCAAATGAGCAAAAATAAGAAAAAACTGCTTAAAAATTAACGATATTATCTAAACAAACAATGTGTACGGAGACTTTATGGGGCCTATATTTACATGCAGGGACAGATTTATCTCAAGAATGAACAAAGGAATACAATTTTTGTCTTTTGCTATTTGAACTTTAGATTTCAAAGAATAAATATATGTAAAAATTTTAATTTAAAATATTTATTTATGTTATGTTTCTTTATCACATTACAAAATTCGTAAGGTGTACTCAGACTTTATTGGCTATGTGTATATAAATTTGTGTTTATGGAATTCTTAGTTACAGAAAAGTAGTTCAAATTTCATCCCTTTTAATTTTTAGAGTTCACAGCTGTTTTATTGTTTGGCAGTTTTTATTTTTTTTATTACATTTGATCCGTATATTTTAAATTTGTTAACATAGTTATGACAAAATCAGGGATTAGAGCACGCGATTTAATGCATGCAAAGTCAATATATCTGCCTGGATTTTAATTTAAATTCACACGTTTATGCGTTGTATTAATTAATTCAATTAAATCAGTTAAAAATAGTGCTGGTAATATTCGGTCTTCAAACTATTCGAAACCTACGGTTATTTGGATAGCACTCAAATCTTCGCAGAATTCCATTTGGAAAAGTATTAAATATGTTGTGTATTATTATTATTTATTATGGATTTAAAAACATTCGTACAGCACTTGCAAAAACTTATAAAATCTAAATGGACAATAATTTATTTGTTGTGTCAGATTGACATACAAAAAGTGCATGTTCTTAACATTATTATTCTTTTAAATTATTCAATAATTAATCCTCTGTAACTTAAAAGTTTTTTCATTGTATCGGTTATTAAAATTGCTACCATTTAACTAGTGGCGTAACTACAGTTTTTAGGCCCATAAGCAAATTCTAACTAAGGGCCTCCTGCTAACATCTTTTTATATCCTTTACACGAAAAAGTGTAAAAAGGGTATATTAGACTTGTCAAGATTTTCGAACCGCATTAAAGGAAATGTCGAAAATACTATAAAGTATATATCAGTAAATGTATATATACTTTTTCAGTTCAAACTACTCTCTTAGCCCTTTGAACCCTTCAAATGAAACTTTACACATATACTTTTTTTCGTAAGCGGACCCTGTTCACTATTTGATTTGATTGAAATTGGTCTACTAATTCCTATAGATGTATGTATTTTTATTTTTCCTAACAAATTTTTCAAATCCGGAAATCCAGACCACCATTGATTTGTTTGATGAAGCATTGAAACTTCTATTTTCTTGAATAGGATCCTTCGGAAATGGTCCTTGTAATCTCTTGTGGTCGGAAGATATATAATTAATTAGCGTTTAATAGCATCAGTTATTTTGACATTAATATAGTGCCCAAAATCAGTTGATTTGCTTATTGTTTCATTAATGATTTTGAGGTCTGTTTCAGTATTTGAACAATGTGTCAATATATTCTGTGTATAACAATTAGCAAAGACAACATTTAAATCGTTTACTCCTTCACTTTTGTTTTCATTTATTTTTAGAAAATTGTTCAGTTTTGGTAATTCCTTTAATGTTTCTTATCGTTCGTTTTGCTCTTTTCTTTTCTTGGCTCCACTTAAATGTCAATACAAAGATATTTTAAAGATTTTCTTGAAATTACAAATGCAACCTTGTTCAAAAACCAAAATTTATGTTATTCCAACAAAAAACGTTTCGTCCCACTTTTAAAAATGTATTAAAAATAAATGTAATAAATATATAAATTTATAATAGGACCCCCTAAGTTCGGGGGCACGTCACTGCATTTAACAAGACTAACTTCTTCTTCGGAGATAAGAGCTTTATCAAAAAAAAGTTGTCTATGTTCTCTAAAAACCGGGCATACACGTATGAAATATGTATTCAATTTCATAATGATTACACAAAGAACAATCACGTTCTGATGTATTAAACTCTGATGTATGCCTTTACATTTAAAAGCACGGTCGATATGTGCTAAGTATTTTCGTAATAAAAACCAGGGTTCGTATTTGCTCACTCATGAGCAAGAGTCAAATTTTACGTGAGCTCAAAATGGGCTAATGAGTGTGAGGCCTAAATTGGCTCATATTAAAGAGCTGCTCACCAGCGTGAGCCTTCAATTTGTTCATATTAGAATGTTGCTCATGAGGTCTCACGAGCCGAGAGCTCAACTGCTCAATAAAAAGCGATTTACTTTTGATTACTTTATTTGCTTTATTTATTTTTGTATACTTTACTTGATATGTGAAAATATATAAGTGCCTATAATGGATTGACGATCACTAATAGACAGTAGAAAAATTTCTACTGCTGGTAGAAAAAATCAAATTTTGGTATTATGAATTGCAAACCGATAGAAGTTTTTCTATCAGCAGTAGATAACTTTCTCTACGACATTTGAGCAGTAGAAGTTTGTCGATCGTATACAATAAATGCTGTAAAAACGCTTTATGCAGTCAATTTAACATATAAATTTAACATAATTTTAATATTACTAATTTAATAGTTAGTAATAATTCATATAGCTTTAATATAATAATACTAGCTGACCCGGCGAACGTTGTTTCCCCTTGCAATTAATTTTCCTGGCTGAGTTGAGTTATAATATTTGTTGTTATTCAACTTAACCTTTAGCATTTTAATGCGAAAATTATTTTGAATTGATTTTTTCTTTTGAACTGCAAAAAGTCCACATGCATTACTTATATTACAAATATTTTCATGTTACTTCCAGTCCTTATAAGCACTACTTTTAAATGAAAAAAGGTTTTTTTAATATTATATTAACAGTTTTATTATGAGCTATTATGTTATCTTAAAGCTAAATCATGAACAATATTTTTTGTTAAACCATTTTGACCGTAGTTACAGAGATCAGAAGGTTTTCCAACACGGGAACATGCAACATATAGTTGCCCATGCGAAAAACATGGATTTTCCAAATTCAGTCCACATACTTTTAATGTTTGACCTTGAGATTTATTAATTGTCATCGCAAATGCTAAACGAATTGGAAATTGCAATCGTTTGAATTGAATTGGATCATCGGTTAGTATAATTGGTATGCGTGGAAGCAATATATTTTCTCCTCTGAATTTTCCACTTAATATTGTTGATTCAATTAAGTTCCCCATAATTCTTTTAATTACTGATCTTGTTCCATTACATAATTTTAGTGGGTTTAGATTGTGTAATAAAATGATTGGTGAACCAACTTTTAAAAGTAAATTGTGTGGTGGTAGTCCTGGCAAATCAAACAAATTTAAGAACTCAGTGGGATAATTCACAATCTCGTTTTCATCTACCACTATGTCGATGGATTTTAACGAAATTAAATCACCAGGTAGCATAGCTTGAATTTTTGAATTGATTTCATCGACATCTAAGTTCTTGGCAGCCAGAAACGCTCTATTTTGAAGCCATTGATGGTTCTGATAATTTTGAATTAACAATATTACAAAAATTTTCCGGCAATTTAATAAAGTGCGTATTTTCATGAAGACTTACGTTTCCATTAACAATATCCAGCAATTGGTTGGCAAACAGTTCTGCAGCTAAATCTCTCTGTAGTCCAACACACATGTTTTCGGTAATTCGCAATATGTGGACACTTCACCACAAAATAGATGATTTAAGGCAAGCATTGATTTGTTCGCTTCTTGTAACAAATTCAACCAAATCTTCGGAGCTATACTGAAGTTCGCGCTGCATATCAGTTGCCAAACGATTTGGCGAATACAATCCTAATAATTTAAGTGGTTGATTTGATATAAGTAAACATAAGTCTTCGATCATAATCAAAGCTTCGTTATAAATTTCACGATTGAATTGAATATTTAAGTCATGATTTGTTGTTCTATGTCTATGTAGTATATCTTCACTCATTGAGCATTTATATTTTTCCTACAATTCTTTGGGATTATTTGGAAAACATGTTGTCAACAATATGGCGAATAATTGACGAATTTGATGTGGAAAAGAACTTAATACTGCATCCCGGAGTGTAATGTCCCAATGATTATCGCTTTCCAGCAATTGCAATTCTCTACATGCATCATGATATGTATTGTATAGCTGACCATTGACAGTTCTCAAATACTCATACGATGTTGGACCGCGTACATTTATCAAAAGCAGTCTTAAAAAAAAACACTCTCGTGGTTTTGGATGAACAGTATATAAACGACTCAGTGAGTTTGCTGAAACTAATCCTGGATAACCATTGACTGCAACACCTCGTTTACGTGGCTGCCACTTTTTTAAAGTTTTGTTTCATGTGAAATATGCTGGAACTTCCGAATAAAGTAAAGTTCTTGCGTATTGCCCAATAATATTTTGTTGTTTATTCAATTCAAAGAACTCTGTTAACGTAGTTTTTGGTGCTGTTAATGTATACTTAAATGTATTACAGCTGGATCTCGTTCGTGTATTTGAAAACCAAAAATTCACCATGTGGCTTCGTTACTGCTGATATATCTGCCCTTTTGGTAGCGTGTTATTTCATAATTTTCGTTTATATTTTGAACTGCAAATACTGTGATATGGACTACCTTTATGAACATATTTGCAAATGTATTTTATTAATTTTACGGAGCTACAAAATTCTACATTGATGTGCGCTTTATATATCTTGGATAACAATGGCGAATAAATCACTACCCATCTATTGTCTACTTCAACTTCATATTCAATATTTCTCAACTTTAGTGAAAAGGATTGGCCTCCATTTTCCGAATTCCAGTTTCCAGTTATCGTATCTCTAACAAAATCTTTTCGAAATCCTTTTGTGCATTTATCATTTTCCATGCAAGGCGACGTCATATTTAAATTTTCGCATGGACCATGTATCATATTTTTTTACCACAATTTCAAATAGCTCTTTGTCAATATTTGGATTTGGAATGTCTGCGAAAACTATTTTATCAATTTCTTCAGGTCTGATTTTTTCAACACACCAAATTAAAATATGAGCATGTGGCAAACCTCTTCTTTGCCACTCAATAGAATACATCCAGCAACGTGTTTCTCCAAATACAGAGTGTTTTACAATTAAATCAATCAAAGATTTTAATTTTTGTTTAAACACCCGTTCGGTAATATCGGGACGATGAATCGGCGTTTGCCCAGGTAATAACAATTTGTCCAGGTAATAATAAATTTTCATCTATATTATTATAAATATATTTGCCATGTTTTATCTTTACGCATAATTTTAATGTCTCGTTTTTCAAACTGTTCGCCAACTATTACAACAGCGACTTCATTTGTAGTTGGAGCGTTAATTCGTCGTGTATGTTCTCCAACTGGTACTTTGTCGGCTTTGATTACAATCATGTAATTGTCATTTTGTAATCTGTTCGATACTCCTTTAAACAATTTCATTAACTGATTGATCTCATTTACAAACGCTTCTAAAGATGCAACTAATGTTTTTCTGCATTTATTTCAATATGATTATAGTTGCATCTTGCATTTACTCTATCTTCCTCACTGCCCATGAAGTAAATTTGCAGAAATTTGGGGTCCTCATCGGGCATCGATAGAAACGAACCAAATCTATGATAAACTTGACCTTGAATTTTGAAAGTTGTTTCAACATTGAAATTGTTGTTACTTGAATTTTTAACTACATTTGTTATTCCAAATGAGGTCATTTGAATGCATGTTAAATTTGTAAATCCACAATTCAAAAAATATTTTGAATTTAAAGAAAAAGTTTTTTAACTTTGTTAAAGTAAAAAATGTAAACAAATTATGAAGTCACACAATTTTATAAGATTTTATAACTTATCTGCGCAATGACTAACCTTAGTATTTAATGTTCTTGGCGGTATATAGAAGATTTAACAATTGCATACTTACAATTGCTGTCGATTAATTGCACTTCATTCAATAATTTTTAATTTTCACAATGTTCATGATATTTTACTTTTATCGCTTTAACGAATAGCTATTAAATAAAGCTTCTAATAAATACCGCCTATTTTCACTTTAAGATGCAGATCAGTAAATTTTTAAATGTTTTTCGTATACTTTTTGTGTTTAAATTTATGAATAACTTTTTGCACTCGCGCAACTTACATGTATTCTCAAGAATGGTAGAATTAGGGTTTGAATTGCTTTGACTATTTTCAAGCAATTATTTTTGACTACGAAAATAAAATAAGCAAAATGCAAATGCTTAACAAAACGTACACAATACAAATGTGTGTGCACACAACTGTGTACAATCGCGATTGTACGTTTTGTTGTTGCATTTGCATTTTGCTTATTTTATTTTCGTAGTCAAAAATAATTGCTTGAAAATAATCACAGCATATCAAACCTGGGATAGAATACGACATTCGAACAAATTCCCGTTACGTGATGTATTTGGCACGGTTTCCATGGTTGCCATGCAGTATAATAACTTGACAAATTAATTTGAATAAATTTCAATTAATAATTTACATTTACAATTTAAATTATGTAATAATAATTTAAAACAAATAAATAATATAAAAATGAAATAAAAAAGATTCGTGAAATTCTTATACAATTAAATGTATAAATGTTAAATGGAATCAAATTGCTTTGTATAAAAATATAACAACAATTTACTAAACCGTTTTAATTTAAGTATGCAAAATTAAATTACAAACTAATAAGATACAATTTAATGCAATTAATTTATTTGCAAGCTTCTAAATGCTTCATTTTAAATAAATATATAATAAAAAATTGGTGAAATTAAATATCATATGAAATTATTATTTCTTTCAAATACATATTGAAAAATATAATTTCATTTAAATTAAACATTATTATATAACATAAATGCATTTATTAAAAAAAAATATTTTGACCAATTTTCAGTTTATTTCAATTAACATATAGAATTTCTATTTTATCTGTCATTTCTACTATTTCGCAAAAGTTCGAACAATGTACACAAAAATACACAAAAATACACAAAAATAAACAAAAATAAACAAAGAGAAAATCAGTATCATTCAAACTGTCGGACAGTTTGAAACGGAAATTATTAAATTTATTATTTAAGTGAAAATTATAACTAATATCGAATGTTATAATAGCCTATGTTACGCCGAAAAACTATATAAATATGATCTGAGAGTATCAAGAAGATTAGTTAAGTCATTAAAAAGTTATTGAGTAACGAACAGACGAACAAACGATTTTATATATGTATAGATATATCATTTAATATATCTGATTTCAAGTGTAATGTGTTGTATGTATATTGAATATAACGATTATTGCATTTTTTTGTTTTGTTATTTATTTATGTGCATTTATTCAAATATTTTCAACATACAATCATTTTTCAAATTTCTTAGACATATTTTTCAACGAATAATGTATTTACCATATATAAAATTAAGAAATAATAAAATTAATAAATGTTGTTGTAGGGCAAAATTAATAAAAATAAAAATAAACAAATAAAAATCAGATAGTAAAACTTGTTGCAAATATGGAGAAATATCCAGACATTGCGAAAGGCATTTGCAACAAGTCACATTCCAGACCACCGTGAGAGAAAATTGCGATAGAGCTTAATAGCTTAATAGTTTAGGCGCCTAGAAAATATTGAAAACATTTTAGTGAAGGGAAGCAAGAGTATTGTGACCAAAAACTTACTGTAAGCTTCTTAAGCTTCAACTGCTTTACAAAATATGGATTTTACTAATTTAATATACATATAATGTAGATATAACTACAAATTATAAAAATATTAAAATTAATATTAATATCTTTTTTTGTTTTTTGTTTTTGCTTCCCTTTATTATACAACTGCCAAGATTTAGCATTTAGTATACATTTTTACATAATGGAACTTCAAGTAATAATTCAAAAACAAAATTAAGAATTATACGAGTGAACTATTAATAGTGGATAAAAAGAAAAAGAAAACTTTTCTTTAAATAATATAAATTAAATATTATAAAATAATTAAAATTAATGGATAGATGATATAATAAATGAGTCAATTAAATAGACTGCTATGAATTTACTATGAATATATTAGTTAGATTATTATAATATTGCTAGTTCTGATGGAAATAAGCGTTTCAATATTCTGTTATGTGTGGCTTCGTCATTAGGTAGCTGCTTCATTGCTGGGTTAGGATGGAAAAGTAATCTGTCTGTGTGCAACGAAGTGTATCTTTAAATCCGGATGAATGTCATAGTTTGAGATGTGCCATTCAGCGTTGATGATAGTCCTAAGTATTTTTGATTGTAGTCTTTGCAGTATTTGAATGTTGTATTTGCATGCTGTGCCCCATATTTCGGCTCCATATTTACATATTGGAGCGATTATCGTTTTATATATTAGTAGTTTATTATCCACTGTTAGTTTTGATTTCGAGCAGAGTAGCCAGTACAATTGTCCAAAGCGACGCTTAATTTCATTGCTTTTAGCTTTAATATGGTCTATCCAAGTTAATCTGCTATCTATAGTAATACCAAGTTAATTTGCCTTTGTGTGTGTGAAGACTACGTCATTGTTAATTTTTATACGTTTTAGGTCATATTTTTTAGTCGTGCAGATAACATGAACTGTTTTGCTTGTATTTATTTGTACTCCCCATTTGTCGAACCATTCGAGTGTTGCGTTTAGGTAATTCTGCAAGTTGTCTGTGGATATGTTAAAATTTTTATTAGCTGCAATTAGTGCTGTATCGTCTGCAAAAGTTGCTATCAAACTTTGAGAATCAGAAGGTATCGGGACATCAGCCTTGTATAGCAAGTAGAGCAATGGACCTAGTACGCTTCCTTGGGGCACACCAGCTTTCATTTGTTTAAGTTCGGAGATTGAGTTTTTATACTTTATATAAAAGTATCTATTTTGTAGATAGCTCTTAAGTATGAGGTAAAAGTTTGTTGGAAGAAGCTCTGAAGCTTTGACAGCCAAACGCTGTCAAAAGCCTTTGCGACATCTAGATATACCGCCGAGGAAAATTGTTTTGTGTCAATATCACTAGTTATTTTATTAACAACTCTGTGAACTTGTTGTATAGTTGAATACTTTTTCCGAAAGCCGAATTGATGGTCAGGTATAAGTTTTTCTTTATGGAGAATTGGTTCTAGTCTTAATAAAATTATTATCTCAAACAATTTTGAAAAACCACAAATTTTCAGTGGTGGTTTATGCATTACTGAGTTGATATTTTTAGTAACTTTTCATAGAGCATAGTTAGTGGCTTTGTCAGCTGTCAAGTTCATTATGCGTTTTTGCAGGTTTTTATTTTTCTCATTAAGTAGCATAATTTTAAGTTCTTTGGTAAGTTTGTTTAAGTCCTTTTTTAGTTCAAGGGACCGATTTATTTGCCATTGTTTTCTCAGTTTTCTTCTGTCCATTATCTTGCTTCTAACTGCCATCGAGATTTTATTTTAAGTGTCGTTTTGTTTAAGAACTGGGGTAGAATTTGTCACGGCAACAGCGATCATTTCACAATCGCGCTTTCGATTTCGTCTTCAGATTTTAAGGAAATATTTATTGTCAGGTCAGTATTAAGAATATCTCTAAACGTGTCCCAACATGTTTTGTTATTATAGATTAATTTTGTCCTTGAGATGTTTAGTTTTGTGTCGCTTTCATATGATAGCATAATTGGTGAGTGATCAGGTGATAAGTCAGGAAGTGTACTTACTGTAAGAAATCGTTTATTTATATTTTTGGCCACGAAGAAGTCAATCACGTCTGGTATTTTGTTCATATCGGTAGGACAGTACGTAGGTTCACCTGTGCTTAGAATGTCTGCTTTTTTGTCAATGATAGCATTATGTAAATTTTTCCCTTTGCAGTTTGTAATTTTGAGCCCCACAAAGTATTTTTTGCATTAAAGTCTCCACCAACAATGTACCGATTGCCGAGAGTGTTAACGTAGCTCGGGTATACATCCTTCGAGGTATTGTGTTTCGGAGGGCAGTAAATAACTGATACTGTTAATTCGCCTTTTGAATCTTGAATATGGACACTTGTAGCTTGTATTTGTTCTGTTTGGTATATCCTGGCTATCGAGCATTGCATATTTTGCTTAATAATTACTGCTGTTCCACCATGGGCTTTGTTGTCGGGATGATTTGTATGATATATCGAATAGTTAGAGATTTTGATGAAACTTTTGTCTGTGAAGTGTGTCTCTGATACCAGGAGTACATCAATGGAATTGATATTTAAGTATGTTCTCAGTTCTAGTAGTTGTTTGCTGAGACCGTTTGCATTCCAAGCTAAAATTTTTAATTTATTTCTGTCCATCGAGTTTGGTGATTAGGATGGTTAAAATATGTATAACGTTGGCAACTTGCGTCATAAGCTGTTTCATCATTTGCTGGAGTTCTGTAAATTCGGAGTTGTTTGGTTCATTGTTTATTGGAATGGGTTGAGTTGGAAACGATTTTATTATTTCGGCGTATGTATGTTTTAGCTGGTTGGATTTGTTGGGTTTGTTGGGTGGTAGTTATTAGGTTCGTAACAGCTTTAGTTGGCAGAGATATTTCGTTATTTTGATATGTGGTTTTTTGTTGTTTTGCGCGAAAAGCTGGGAATCGTTTGGTTTGAGGAGTTTTATAAACTGTACAACCTTTGTAGTTTGCAGTTTGATTCTCTTTACAGAGTGCGCATTTAACGACGTTGTTCTTACCTTTCATGGGACAGTCAATTGTTTTATGTCTTTCGGAGCATTTAACACAGATTGGACTTCTGGTACAAAAATTTTTTGTGTGTCCATACTTTTGACAGTTGGTACATTGTGGTATTGTTCTGAATGAGTTTTGATGGTGAATTGTGTTGATGATGGTTTGATTGTTGGAGTTTTATGTGGTACTCCTGCTGCATTTGTTGTTTCTCTATTTGCTGGTTTTGTTGTGGTTGTTTTTGTTGGGTTTGCAGTGATTTTTCTTGCAGTTGTAGCTGTTGATTTGATTGTAGAAATGTTGTTTGATTATTATTATTGGATACTTTTGAGCATAGGACAGCTTGTTGGTGTGTTTTATGCTGTTGTTGTTGTTCTTGTTGTGATTGTTGCTCGTGATTTGACTCGCCTCCACCTTTTGGTGGAGTTCGATTGACCGGCATTGCGATAAATCAAGCGATTACCAAAATAGGATATGAAGTTTGGAGTTTTCTATTTGAAAATAAAATTTACTATTATGAACAGTTTGAGGATGACTGATCTTGTGTTATAACACTTTTAATATATTGGTTTGTGTACACACTAATCAAAGAATAGGTTGTATATGCTGTCTATAATCTCTATCAGCACTTTTTGTTTTGTTTATATATACACAAAACCGCACTGTTCTTTTGTTTGAATGCTTATTCACTTTTGATTATAAGCTTTAGAAATTAATCTGCTGTCTCTGTCATCTGTTTGAGTTTTTTAATAAAGCTGTGCAAAAAGAAAGTCAACAAAAATCGAAAAAAGCGCGCGCTATTTTCAAATTAATATTTTATGCACTTCAAACTGTTACTAATTGTTTTTTGCCCAAAAATGATCTATTTTTGTGAATTTGTATTAATAACAAAAGTGATATTTATAAGAGTACTTCTTATTTACTTGTTTTTATACTGTAATTTAAATTTCTTCGAGACCGGTTAAAAAAACACGTCCGCTCACTACGAAACTTTGACTACGATTCAAATATATTTATTTTCAGGATATTAAAGTTTAATTTTAATATATTACTAGTTTATTAATGTAATGTAATACTAAATAATAATTTACAATACACACAAAATAACAAAATAAGTTCGATTAAAGCTGCACGCTCTTAATCCCTGACACCATTTACAATAGTGCACATGTTTGTCTATCAAGTTTCATAATACCAAATTTGCTTACCAATCGACTCAGTAGATAAAACTCTATCGTCTATCGGTAGAAGTTTCATAATAGCTACTATAATTTGAAATTATCTTAGCTTATTATTATTTATATTAAAACAATATAATGAAACAATAATACATTGTTTTTCGCATTTTAAATAAATTGTTCTGTTACATTCATGTAAAATTTTGAAATATTTATTTTATTATTTTAAAATTTTTCGAAACACAATATAATATAGTTTAAAACTCTTGAATTAATATAAAACGATTAATTAAGTAAACTCACCAAATTCAAAAAAATAGTGGCACGTGTAATGAAGACAACAACAATGCCATGTATTTTTCATTTTCTAGCATGCCCCACCTTCTTGTAAGCAATGTACTCTTGCTCACGAGCTCTGCAATTGGGTTCGGTCATGAGCGTGAGCCATAGTATGAAAAGTGCTTCTTATCGGCTCATTAACTGTGAGCAGAATGAGTTGAAAAGCGCCGCTCATGAGTACGCAAATACGAACTCTGTTAAAAACTATGCATAATGTCATATTGCAGCTGTGGGTACATGTGATGAGATCTTGACCTAGCATTCGCGACAAAGGTTTCGTGTCCACTCAGTTTGTATAAAGTTATAATATTATTCTGTAATAATTTAAGATCCATACTCCGAATACTGAGTATTGAAAAATCCAGTAGAAATATTTTGTGTATTCGAAGCCTTTGTTTGTCATATTGCAGCTGTGGGTACATGTGATGAGATCTTGACCTAGCATTCGCGACAAAGGTTTCGTGTCCACTCAGTTTGTATAAAGTTATAATATTATTCTGTAATAATTTAAGATCCATACTCCGAATACTGGGTATTGAAAAATCCAGTAGAAATATTGTATATTCGAAGCCTTTGTTTGATTATTCGAATTTACAATTATTATTCCTATTGTAACCAATATTTAGGTGTTGTTGTTGCTTTCGTTATATGTAAGTACGATTTCAAGTGTTTTGGAATTCGTTAATTTGTGTTCAATATTCTATTATAGACATTGCTGCTTTATTGTTAGAGAATAATACATTTTTATTTCAAACGAAACGTTAATTCTTCATTGACTACATTACATTTTTCTTTAATATAACTTATATCAAAATAATATTCAGTAACAGTAAGTTTTCAGCTCTGGACTTTCATATTTAATTCCTTAATATTAAAGCGTGAAATGAGAGGTTTTTGATCTATTTAAATTTTCAGTGTTCCTCCATATATTGTATGCTGTCGAAAGTATGTCATCGATTATACAATTTCTTATCAATGTGTTTTTTTTATATATATTTATAATTGTATTCTATTTAAAACTAATTGGATATTTTACAAAGATCAATTGGCGCTTTTCTTTTGTCTTGTGAATAGTTGGGGGTGTGTCATTATAATTTGAAATCAAATTGTTTGAATGTGATCTAATACGATTAGCGTATGCGGCAGCGATGCTTTTCGCTTCCTCCTTATCTACCACTAGATTAAGGTCACGATGAATTTGTGAATTTGTGATGTACCACGGAGCGTTCGCTACCATTCGCAGAGTCTTAGATTGGAATCTTTGTAATATTTAGATTAGACCTCTGTCTAGATGAATTCCGAGGTATTTTGAAGCAGTTGACTGTGGTACCACAATATTGTTGAGCTTTATTTCCGGACAAGTTGCTCTTCTTAGTGTGAAAGTGACATGAGTTGACTTGGACTCATTTGCTTTTATACGCCTATGCCTAAGCTAAATTGAAATGTCATCAAGACTAGCTTGTAGCATTAAAGAGGCAGTTGTTGGGTTTTTAGATGTAGCTAAGCCTGCTGTGTCATCCGCAAATGTCCCAGTGATGATACCAGTTTTTGCTAGTAAGTCATGCGTAAATATTGAATATAACAGTGAACCTAAGACGCTGCCTTGCGATCCAGCTTTTATGCAGTAAAGTGATGAGACATGATCTTCAAACTTTACACAAAAATTACGTCCTGAGAGATATGAACGTAAAAACATATAAAAGTTAACTATTAATGCCAATTTTTATTTATAAAGAAGACCATCATGCCACACGCGATCAAATGCTTGTAAAATATCCAAGAACACTGCCGAGCAATATTCCTTTTGGTCAAAGGCCGATTGCGTCGTTTGCTCATGAGAATTATGAAGAAGCGATTGTAGCTCTTTTGTTATTTTATTTAGACGAGGTTTGTCATCTGGAAAACGTGTTCGTTGCCAGTTTTTTCTTGCCTTTCGTTTTTTCCTGATCTTTCTGATAATAACCTGGTTATAGCGTACCTGTTTGCCATTGTATTGTTTATTGAGTGGAGTGGATTCCCATGCTGCATTTTGGACACATCGAGTAAAATATTCAACAGCTTTAATAATCTCTTCCTCACTCTTGAATGGCATTTTATTATTCAACATTGACGACAAAATGGTTTTAAAGTGAGTCCAGTTTGTACGTCTGTTACAAAGTTGGCATTTTTGGTTCGTAATCTGCAACTCCTTACTTATAATAATAATAACTGGAGAATGATCGGACGAAAGTCTAAACTGCTTTTACATTCTATATGTTTTGGTGAGAGACCTTTAGCGACACAAAAGTCAATAAGGTCTGGAATTTTCTTCTGATCTGTTGGCCAATACGTAGCCTCTCCGGTTGAAAAGGCGTTGAGTTTCAATGGTCTTAATGCTAAATACTGTGGTGCCCATGACCTACATCATTGTTTAATATGACAAGTCATTGCATAAAGTAACAAAACAATTGTGACATAATTTATTGAATGCACATTTGTCGCTTTGTTGTTTTGACTTTGATCATATTACACTTTTAAATTTTGTTTGACTCACGCCGTTATGATTGTGCACTCGTAACATGATGCATGAGCCAAACGTTTTATCATATGTGGTCATTGTACGGTAGTAACACAAATTCCTTTAGAAAAATGTAAAACCTTATGAATAACACTTATAATAATATATACAAGTAAAATGCATAAGAAATAGATAACGTATGTTAGAATAGTAAAATAGATACTATAAATATCTTACATATAAAAATTATATGCTTTATCAAAAATTGGGAGTAACCAATGTGTTGATTGGTTACTCAAGAATATATAGGAATTAAATAATAAGTTTAGTACATAAGAATATTTTGTATAAATAGAGTAAGATTTTACAAATAAAGCAGATTCTTTTAGATTCTTTTGCAAAGGCAATAAGAATAAATTATTTTATTGAATCTCTGGTTATATGCGGCATATTTGCTGAAAATAACTTAAAGGCGGCTGAAGAGCTTAGAAAATACTTAAAGGCGGCTGAAGAGCTCAGATCAATACTTAATTCTTGTTAGGTCGAAACCTTTCTTCTTGGGCTTAATAACAATCCCTTAGAAATCCTGCCAGACGATACATATTAGTTTATTGGATGATGAACCTTGCATCATTACATGGCAATTCTGATATCATAACATCATTACAATACATTTCACGACCTTTTGTTGAAGTAAGGCGTGAGCCCCAGAATTTATTCTTTGCGTTATAGTCTCCGCCTGCTATAAAGCGACTTCCTGAAGTTTTGAAAAACTTGATATAAGACTCCTTCATTAAATTATGTTTTGGAGGGAAATATACTGCAGATACTAAGATCGGGCCATCTGTAGTTTCAACTATGATATTCGTGGCTTGAAACTCTTTTGTGCAATAGTGAGTAGTTTCATAATGTTTCACGTTATTTTTTATCAGTATTATTTTTGCTTAAGAATAGTTTTAATTCAGATGAATGGTGTGATAGTCCGTTAGCATTCCAAAGGACTAATTTCATAGACGTGGTGTTGTTTTGGAAATAAGGTTTACTACCAGACTTGTCATTGCTGTAATTTGACTCATTATTTCCTTCAGAAATTTTATCATTTCGCGTAATTCTCTTAGAAGCGGATCACCTTGTTGATAAGCATTGTTTGTTTCAAAAGTTTCTATACTTAAGTTTTTTTGTTGTGTTTAATTTGATTGGGTACTTGCCACTTGGGCGTATGTTAACTTCGGCTGGTTCAATTGTCCATTTTGTTTAACAGATTATTTCACAGCGTCTTTTATTTCATCTTGAGAAGGCAGAATTTTTTCTCTTAATTTAGGAAAAGTGCTTGTTTGCACCTTTTTGTAGACAGAACATCCTTTGTAATTGGCAGGGTGATTTCCTTCGCAGAGTACACATTTAACATCACTTTTCTAGTACAATCAG